GAGGGACAGCGCTGGAGGGGAAGACCCTCTATGAGGTGGATTGATTCAGTGACTGGGGCACTCAGGATGGGTGTGGCAGAGGCAATGAGATTGGCACAGGATAGAGCACGGTTTAGGCTGTTGTACATAGGGTCGCTATGAGTCGCAAACGACTCAACGGCACATAACAACAACAACCTGTCTCTGGAAACACTAATAAACTTTGGTCTCTATACATTTACCAATTCTAGATACTTCACAAAGGTGGGATTATTCTTTTAGCAAACCTGTTTTTACTATAACATTAAGTTAATCTGTCAGTGTAGCCACTGCCCAAATAATCATGATTTAGTTGTTGTTGTTATGTGCCATTGAGTCACCTGTGACTCTGTACAACAGCCCTAAACTCTGCTATATCCCTTGCCAATCTTATTGTCTCTTATATGCCTATCCCCATTACCCCAGTGACTCAATCAATCCATCTCATTGAGGGTCTTCCTCTTCTGTGCTGTCCCTCCACCCTCCCAAGCATGACGTCCCTCTCCAAGGACTGATCCCACCTTGCAACATGTTCAAAGTATATCAGACGGAGGTTCAGAATCCTTGCCTCCAAGAAGCAGCCTGGCTTTACCCTCTCTAGAATGAACTTATTTGTTCTCTTAGCAGTCCATGATATATTCAATATTGTTCTCCAGCACTAAAGCTCAAAGGCATCAACTCTCCTTCTATCATCCGTAGTCATAGTCCAACTCTCTGATGCATAGCAAGTAACGGCAAAGATCATGGCCTGTATCAGGCACACCTTAGTCTCCACACTGACACTGTTGCTCTTCAGTACTTTGGAGAAGTCTCTGACAGCAGACTTTCCCATTGCAATTTGTCTTTTAATTTCCTGGCTGCTGCTACCAAGAGTGTTGATTGTAGAGCCAAGCAAATGGAAGCTGTCAACAATCCCAATCTCTTCACCATCCATCATGATGCTGCCAATCAGCCCAGTTGTGAGAATCTTGTTTTCTTGATGTTAAGCTTCAACCATATTGAAGAATCCTTTGGGCAGAATATTAAATGATCCAGGAAGCATTAAAAGAAGATGGAAAGCATATATAGAGTCAATGTACCAAAAGGAATTAATTGGTGGACAAAGAAGTTCAAGCTGCTCTGAAAGAATTGGCAAAAAACAAGGTCCCAGGAATTGATGGCATACTGATTGATGATTTAGTTAGGCATGATTATTGTTATACTGTCAAGTTGGAACCTACTCATAGCTGACCCTCCAGTGGGTTTTCAGGGACAGTAAAATGTCAGTCTAGAGACTAAGGTGCACCTAATCCAGGACATAGTCTTCGCAATTACTTGCTACACATCAGAAAGCTGGACAATGACTTAAGGATGACAGAAGAAGAATTGATGCCTTTGAATTATGGCACTGTAGCAGACTCTTCAGCATACAATGGACCACCAAGGAAACAAACAGCTCTGTTTTGGAGAGAGTGAAACCAAGTTAATCGTTGGAGGCTAGAATTTTGAAGCTCCATCTCACATACTGTAGTTGGGCACGTGACCAGGAGGTACCGGTCCTTAGAGAAGGACATCATGCTCAGGAGGGTGGAGGGACAGCAAGAGAGAGGAAGACTCTGGTTGAGATGGATTGATACAGTAACTGTGGCAATGAGGGTAGGTGTGGAGTCAGTGAGACTGGCTCAGGACAAGCAGGCTTTAGGGCTATTGTGCACATGGTTGCTATGAGTCATAGCAGACCTGATGGCATATCACAACAACATCCTAACAGCTTTCAATCAGACATGGCATAACCTCAGTGAGACCTAAACTAACATATCTGTAGCTTCTCATTTTAATTATAGAAATTTTATTTTTATTTTCTTATTTTACTTTCCCTTCATGATTTTCTATTTATCTCTATCCATGTTCTTAATATTAAAGTGATACTAAATTATTATTATTTCTTTAAAACAGCTTGCCTTAATACAATATTATATAACAAATATTTTCTTTGCCTGATCTAGGATATGGTCTTCATAGTTACATGCTATGCAGCAGAGAGTTGGACAATGACTAAGGACACGGAAGAATTGATGTCTTTGAGTGGTCTTCTGGAGAAGAGTACTGTCTTTTGGACAGCCAGGAGAAAAAAAATAGGTCTGTGCTGGAGAGAGTGAAACCAAGTTTCTGCTTGGATGCAAGGATTTTGAAGGTCTGTTTCATATCCCTGGGGCATTTGGCCAGGAGGGACCTGTCCTTGGAGAAGGATATCATGCTTAGAAGGGTGGAGGGACAGTACAGGAGAAGAAGATCTGAATGAGAAGGATTTACACAGTAATTGGAGCAATGGGATTAGGTATGTCAGAGTCAGTGAGACTGACTCAGGTTAGGACAGGGTTCAGAGCTGTTGGACAAAGGGTTGCTTTGAGTTGTAGGCAACTCAATGGCACATAACAACAACATATAATTTTTCAGATAATTATTTTTTTGAGATTAAAATAGTTTTCACTTAAATGATGCCTTGCTGTTGAAAAAATTATAAAAAAGTCCAACAAACGAAAATAGTCTAATTTAACATAATCAACAGGATTCAATAATTATAAAATATTTTTCAAATTTATTTGATCCTACCAGTTTACTCTTTTACTTTCTGAAAACAGGTTATTATGAAAAGTTACAGACATAAAATAAGGAAGAGAATTATATATTTAATAAGCAGCTACTCTTTGGGAAAAAGATGAAGGTGTTTGCGTCCATAAACATTTATAGCTTTAGGAGCTCCATGGGGTAGTTCTACTCTCCCTTATAAGGTCTCTATCAGTTAGAATTAACTTGATGGATGTAGGTTTGGTTTTATTTCTGTCAATGGTTTCAATAACCAGCAACTTTTCACTCTTGTAGTTTCAGAGTTTTCATCTTCTTCCCATCTTTGTCTAAATTTTATAAACACATGAAAAAACGCTCAAAACAACTAGCTATTAGAAAGATGCACAGCAAAACAACATTGAGATCTCACTTCACCCCAGAAAAATGGTAAAGTTCAAAGTTCAACAGGACAGCAAACAACAAATGCTGG